AATAAACACATTTTTCAGGTGTGTTTTTTCGTCTTTTTCCTCTTCTAAAACGCGTAAAGAATAGAAAGAGACTACAGGACTAGAGTGCGTGGTTTAAAAAAAAAAAAAAAAAAAAAAATCAATTATCGGCTGGTAAGCGCACGTCATAATAATTTGTTCATGTCTTTGAAAAGCGGCCAATCTAAATTGGTTTTTTAAAAAGCGATTAGGAAAGAATGAACTGTGTCAAGATTACAAAACGTGTGATAAAGAAAATGAGAACGAAATGTCAATAATAAATAGCCCGGTCCATTTCATTTTCGGAATTAAAAAAACTGTTTACATATTATTTCGGACTTTCTGGTTTTTGTAATAGCAAACCCATTTACATTTACAGAAATATAATTTTTGTGTAAACTATAGTAATTAAAAAAATATCTAAATCTCAATGATAATGATACTATAGGTTTTCCGGCCAAACTTCGTAAACTAGCTTAGCATCCCAATTAATGTTACGTTCATTCAAGTTTGTGCGAAATTGAATGACTATGTAGATCAACATTCAAAAAGCTAATTGCGTCATTCAATTTGCTAATATGCTCATCTTACCGTAATTAAATGCCTAAAACCCCTTGAATCCGGTGGCTCTGCCCCTGGACCCCACCTAGGGCCCTAAGGCTCCGCCCCCGGAACCCCACGCCAATTCGTGACCTGCCAGTGTCACAAATAAGGTATAAAACTATGCTCATCCGACGATGATTTCATGTATGAAACCCCTGAGCTTCTGAGGGCTTCACCCCTGGACACAACACCAATTTGTGTCCTGCCAGTGTCAAAAATGAGGTATCAAAATATGCTCATCTGATCGTAATTTATTGCCCAAAACCCCTGAGCTTCCGGGGGCTCCGACCCTGGACCCCACGTCAATTCGTGACCTGCCAGTGTCACAAATAAGGTATAACATTATGCTCATCTGACGATAATTTAATGTATAAAACCCCTGAGCTTCTGGGGGCTCCGCCCTCTGGACCCAAAACAAATTTATGTCCTGCCAGTGTCACAAATACGGTATCAAAATATGCTCATCTGACAGTAATTAAATGCCTATACCCCCTGAGCTTCTGGGGGCTCCACCCCTTGACCCCCACTGAGAAACGTTCAACGGCGGGGCCTACATGCTAGAGTGGGGTGATGGGCATTTTTTTGTCTAATTTTTGTTTAATTAAACTAAAAGAAGGCCAGCGGATAAAAAGTCACAGTTCGTAGGGAAAAAAAACATGTCGGCCGACCGACAATATACATCTCACCGACTTTAAACTTCTGCATTGATATAGTACACGAGGATCGAGCAAGAATACCGACACAGCTGACCCGACACAGCAATATATTTTACCCGTGTCTTTCTTGCTCCCTCGACGAGACGACTCCACCCAACAACCCCCTCTCTCTTTTACTCCCACTCCTCCTCTCTCAGACCCTTACCTCCCCTCTCTCTCCTCTCTTTCCTCCCCCGTTTCTTTTGTTTCCCTTTTCTCTCTTTTCTTCTTTTTTTTCTTCTTTATTTTGTTTTCTCTTTCTTTCTTCTCTTTCCTTTCTTTTCCTTTTTTTCTTTTCTTTTTCTTTTTTCTTTTCTTTCCCTTTCCCTCTCTTTTTCCCCTCCCCCTTTTCTTTTTTTCCCCGTGGCAGCCAATTTACCGACAATATCCTGACAGGTGGGGGGGGGGTGTCGTACCCCCACCCCCCCCCTCTCTTGGGAGACGCCCCTGAGTGGACACCAAGTTTAAATGGTGTAAGATAGTGGATATAAAGACATAAAATGACATGAAATATTTGAAATTATACACTTAAATTGTAAACAATAATTATGATAATAGCTAGTTCTTATATTATTATAATAGCACTTTTCAGGACCGAAGGCCTTCTCGAAGCGCTTCACAATTATATATATTATTACCCCGGTCATCGGATTCAGGCTTTGTCGCACACATACTCCCTGGGGGAGCATTCCAGCCAAGCGTCGTTTTTACAAGCGCACACTTGCTAATCCAAACAATTTAAAACAGGTGCGTTTCGCTGTGAACAGGCGCGATAACAATCGCCCTCAAAGCTACGTCTAAACAAGGAGTTACTACACTAAACTATGTTCCCAGCATCACGGCAGCCACGTTTGCCTGAAACATTCTGTATTCAAGATTTGTTGGGTGTTGCTAAGTTTTTGTCAAGGTCTATCACGGTATCTTTCCCCTCGTTGCTTAACGTCCATCCCTTTTTGTGCGCAAAGCCCGGCGTGAATAGAAATGTAAACATAGCTTGAAACGACGTCACAATCGGAAAATGAGCGCCATTTTTTAGGGAAAGCTCAGTAGGTTTCAACAAGTTGCAACTTCAAGCATCAAAGTCCAGAATCTGGCCTATTTAATTTTGATCTCCACCACACCAACGCTACCTATTCCTACTTACTTGCTACCAGCCGATGATGGCGTGATCATTAAATTAAGACGCCCGGCGAAACTCAGGCTGGGCTGATGAGCATAATTATGAGTCTGTTGATAACGCCATCTTCGACGGCTTGGATCAAGTGTGGGGAAATTATAAAGGACCGTAAAGATTCTGGACTACAAGCATCTCCGCCTGGCTGCCGCCACTAAAACTTTAAGCATCTCCGTACGGCGACCGCCAGCTGGAAACTTTTAAAGTTGCAACTTTAACAACCTATTTTTGGCGGCAGCCTGGCTGAGCCAATTATAGACGTGCCGCCAGGCTGGGGGTGGATGGGCCGATTAAAGATTCCGGGGTAAAACTCAGATCCCAGCCTGGCGCAAGCCGGCTGGGCTAATTAGTGAAAATTAATTGCCCCAGCCAGGCTTCGGGCGGATTTGCAGCCTCGATCCGCCAATACGTGAGGCGGGAGCCAGCTGGTATCGATATTTTTGACGCCTCGCCTTACAAACGCACATTTGTGAGAATTACATTTTTTGTATAGACATGTGATGATATTCTGTCACCTAACACCCGAACCATAGGTCCGCCCATAACAAATTTGGAATCAAAATGTGCGGGAGACATGAGAGAAAAAAACTCATGAAATTTCAGCGCCAAAGGTTGAGAGGTTTTGATGCAGCGGCAAAAATTCGACGGGGGGGGGGGGCATTATGCCCCCGGCCTTATTAGGGTTAAATCAATATCTTCTCACATTCTCTCACTATTTATCTCTTCCTTTCGAGTTCTCTCTTTCATTACAACTTCTCTCAATTTCTCCTCTCCACTCTTATGTGCTGTGTATCTCTCTTCTTCTTACTCAAACAAAAAAATTGACAGGATAGTAATTGAAACTAATTATTGCACGTCAAACAAACATTTAATCACTAATGCTACTATTTCAATGACTTTAGAAAATGAATCATCCTGTAATATGGCAACTCCCATCGTATCAAGTTTGCATATTTACATCGGCTTTACTTACAATAAGTATAATGATTAACTTGTAAAATAATAGTTATATTCACAGCAATAGTAATAATAATGATAATGATAATAATAATAATAATAATAACAGCAATACTGATACAATAAATATTATTATCAAAATGTTAGGCACCCATCAATTTGATTCTTGTTTTTTAAATATCTTTTAACTTGCTCTTTAAAAAAATTTCAGGCAGTTCTGAAAATGCAAAAGCACTGTTCATTACAATTGCAGACCCATTCACTAACTAAAGTATGCCCTTTTACCCTCATCATCGACAATATTTCCACAATGCATTATTTCATGATAAAGATGGTATATATTAATCTTGCCTTCATTATTAATAAAGTTCTATAAAATAATCTTCTCATTCGCTTTTAAAATTTGTGTTTCTTTCAGGTCATGATCGGTCATGTTCACGTTTGATATTTTGATACTAACGGTTTTACTCTTTCACACAAATCCGGCACAAGTGGATGTTGACATGACATTTCAACACGATGTTGCTCAGTGAAGCGTGTATAGATTAATGTAATCAATGTATCATAGGAAAGCATATTACTGCTACTCTATATGGAAGCAAGGAATCTTATTATACACCTCATAGATATTCACAACATCTATTCGTTTTCGATTTTCATTTTTTCTGGGACGCAGTGTATAGTTAATAATTTATAAACCGAGCATCTTACTTTAGATTACCCATATTTCACACTAAAACCATATTTGTTTTACCTAAAGTTTGGAAGATAAAATATTGACTTTTGTCTTTCTTTATTCTTTTTCCTTGTCTTGAATTACTTATATGACATGATGTCATGTATTGCATATAGTTTTCATTGAAGGAATGCATTTATTCATTGTATTCGATTTATTTAGGTAATGATTGTGAAATATAAAATAAGACAGCCTTAAAACATGTAAATAATGTCATAAATTGCCGTGTATTTTGACACATTGACGTTACATTATTTGTTTTCGTTATTTCTATTCGTATATATCTGATGTATAAGCTTATTACTCGAGACCACAGACAGAACTTTATATTTATATGTTTACATGTTTGTATATTTCTATCATAGAACCTATGAATAATTTACTACACAAACTGCACTTTTATGTTGTAATCAAATATCTTTGACGTTTCATGATTTCATGAAGCACTACCTAATATTATACAATGAAGTTTAAACACAGTCTCTTGGCAGTAAAAATGAGATTCTATAAAACTCAAAAAGAACAAACCGCCACTAATTCTAATCATCGATATGATTATTTTCAAATTGCTTGAATGTAAAGATGAAAAGTGCTCTGTTTTTTAAACATCATAAATAAACAATTCTTTTACACTCTTTTTTAAGTGCTCTTCGTGTAAAAATTAGTGCATGGAACTACAAAAAAAACACAAACTCGAACATTCCTAAAGATCTATATTTTTTTTGGTATTTTTTTTGCTGGGGGGGGGGGGGTATTTACTTGCCTCCATCTAGGTGTTCAAATACAATCAGTGGTGCAACCTGGTGATATGAAAAATGGAAAGAAACCAATACATTTTTTATATCCCCACTTTTTTCTCGCATATGAATCTTAATCGTCTGGAGCAATGCTTATCCTGCCAACTATATCGCTTCGACTCTTGATAACTATCAAACCAAATTTGAAAACAGTTTACATTCTCGCGAAACGACCCTTGGGTAAAATGTTTATATGTAAGACTTGATCCGTCTAGCCACCTTGCCTCACTGAGACTTAAGCCGGTCAGCCCGATCCAGTAGTTCTCACTAGCACGCTCTGCAATGAAGTCCTGTTCCTCTTGCGACTCGATGAAGACTAGATGGGATCCGTATTGGGAACAAGCTGAAACCGCAGAAGAATGATTCATCTCTGAAGTGCTGAAATTGTAGAACGACCCGCCGAATTCACAATCCACCGGAGGGGATGAGCATGCTGAAAAAGATGAAAATACAATATGTAAACTAGACATGTAATACTTGTTTGGAACAAGTATAGGTGGGCTGGTCAACTAAAATTTGAGACAAAATAGAGCAAAAAAAAGCGATATACTGCTAAAAAAACAATGTCATGTAGATCAATGATGTGAACGAAATTCACCTTTCATAGGCATAATACGCGACTTAAAAAATTTCTGATATGTGCCCTTTAATCGTAATTTTCACTATGATGACGTCATCAAAATGAAAAATGGTGCAATTAAGCTTGTAGAGAATTGTCTTAGCTACATCATATCAAAATTGGAAGAAAATCGATCAATATTTACAGAGATACAATCAATTTTACATAAATATGCTGACGTCATAATATGCAAATTCGTATTTTGAGTTCCAAGGCCATTATGATGATGTCACGATACACTTAATGGCTAAATGAGACATGTAATCATATCTCCGACTCATCTTCTATCTAAATATGAAAACAAATTGAGGGTCCCGGTGCATTCCTAAGAGCTATAATGGATTTTGTAGTGGCATATTTTTGCCCATATATGCTATGTATTAAAAGAGCTCGCGCGCACGAACATTTATCTTGAATGGACGCTCATGTTGTTATTAATGGTCATAAAGAAATAAACATGGTATCAAATTGTTCGAAAAAATATGGGAAATATCATGAAAGAAAAAAAAATGGCGATTCTATGTTTTGTAATGGTGTTACGCGCGAAAACGCGCGCGCATGCGCGTGTGCGCGATTTTTTTTAATAAAATGCTTAAAATGGCCTAAAACGTATGCAAAATAAATTTAAGACGATTTTGAGCATTTTGAAATTTTGTGCGCGCACTGACGCGCGGACGTACGCGCATGCGCGCGTTTTGTGACCTAAAATTTACCGGACTGATATTGACCTTGATCATGATAAATATGAAAGAGAACTCATTTTGGGTTATGAAGATTTGATCATGAGTTAATTTTCAGAAAATTTCACAAAATGGCGCCTAGATGACGTCATCAGTCAAGGTCAAGGTTGAAAACCTTACCGTGCTTTGTCCATATGCCTATACATATGTGCGCCAAAATTGAATTTATTTGATTCAGCCATTTTCAAGTTATCTTGCTAACAAAAAAGTGGTAAGATTTAAGAAAAATAAATAATAAAGAAATAAATAAAGGCGATTTTAACAAAAATATAAGGTGGTCTGTATTAGATACAGCCCACCTGATTAATCAATTTTAAGAAAGTAGGCAAAGTGATTATTTGGGTAGAAACTGAAATATTCAAAGACAAATTATTATTATTCTCAACATTATTATTATTATCGTTATTATCATTATTATTATTATTATAGATAATAGATAATGATGATGATAATGGCGAAAATAATGATAATAATGATATAGAAAATAATGATACTAAAAATAGATGCAAAGACAAAATAACAGCTTTAAAAAGACTCGGTAACATTAGTGAAGGTTGATGAAAAACTGCGTAATTTTTGTATGAAATGTTACTTATTATATTCCTCACTGGACTAACCCTCTAACATGCAAAAAAATCATGATTTTTTTTTAAACCACAAAGATATTTATGGTTTTCTTTGAAGGCGTCACTGGTCAACACCCTCTAACAGTAAATTCTCCAAACCATTTTTGAATTTTCCCAACCGTTTTTCCATGAAAATAAGACAAAAGACAGGCTTTAAAAAATATTTCGACACTTAAATATCTGGGATGGTATATAAAACCAATGCATAGCTTTGTGATGATTTACATTCACCTAAAATGTAATTAAATTGTAATAATATAGTTGGGAGAATTAAGGAATCGATCAGATCAGTTCTTCCCCAACAGTTATCATTAATAATGGTGTGCTTTCACTAGAATTTTCATATTATCTTTAACTGTATACATGTAGCATTGTAGTCATTACCTTAACACCACTTTCTCTCATCTGAACAATGTTACCAAGTCCCTTTAATGATCAATCAATACCTACAAAAACTCTCCTCACTATCGCAAATTTTGGCCAATTTATGAATAAAAGAGGGGAAAGAGAGAAAGAGAGAGAGAGAGAGAGAGAGAGAGAGAGAGAGAGAGAATAGAGTGGGGGGAGAAGGAAGGGCAAGAGATAGTCGAGCCTCTGTACCGTTTTCGTTTAGCGCACCCAATCAGCTGATAAAATAACACACCCTCAACGTTGAAAGTAGACCTAGCCATTCCTCTAAATCTGGACCACGAATACGGAAATTTGGGGATTGCACGATCAGTGGAGAGACCGCGCTGTGTGTGCGGGTTAAAAAGAAAGAACGGACTGAATCTGGACTAGGCAAGAGAGAGAGAGAGAGGGGAAAGGGGTAGTGGCTAGACATATTATATTAATGATCAAATGCAGGCGCGCCGGAAGCAGTTTGGGATTGGGGGGGGGGGGCAAACATTCCAGGGGGCTCACTTTCCAGGGGCAGTGACGTAATGAGAAAAAAAGTTCGGAAGGGGGGGGGGGCAGACGAAAAATCTGCATCACCACCAGTCTTACACGTTACATGCAGGTCCCGCGGAACGTTTTTCAAAGTGGAGTATTATCGATCAGGAAGAGCGTAAATTGGCGTGGGGTCCAGGGCATGAGTCTCGGCAGGGGGTCAAGGGGCTGAGCCCCGGGAAGCTCAGGGGTTTTAGGTATTTAATTACGGTTAGATGAGCATCCAGGGGCCCTCTGTAAGGCAATTGACGTGTTCCAAGGGGGGGGGGAGCCCCCAGAAGCTCAGAGGTTTTAATATTTAACTACGGTCAGATGAGCATCCAGGGGCCGTCTTAGGGCCCTTGGTGTGGTCCAGGGGGCAGAGCCCCCGGAAGCTCAGGGGTTTTAGGTATTTAATTACGGTCAGATGAGCATCCAGGGGCCCACCTTAGGGCCATTGGTGGGGTCAAGGGGTCAGAGCCCCCGGAAGCTCAGGGGTTTTAGGTATTTAATTACGGTGAGATGAGCATCCAGGGGCCCGCCTTAGGTCCCTTGGTGGGGTCCGAGGGTGGAGCCCCCGTAAGCTCTGGGGTTTTAAGCATTTAATTACGGTCAGATGAGCATTTTTTATACCTTATTTGTGACATTGGCAGGTCACTTATTTTTTTCTCAGTCTTTCTTTCTTTTTCTCTTTAACATACTTTTTAAAAAAGGAGGGGGGGGGCTCGAGCCCAGCCACTTTGCAGACCATGACATAAAGGCTTCTAGATAAGCGTATTTCGCCTGACTGTAATGTGGGAATTTCTTATTTTCCAACAAACGCATAAAAAGGTATGACTTACAAAAAAAATGGAGAAAAAATGCCGGAAAATCATGTCACAACATCAACATTTGTAAATCACTTGTTTCGAATAAGAAATACATTACCCCCCCCCCCCCCATCAGTAAGCCAGCGTTCAGGGGCTCATGTCTTCTCACCCCTATAACAAAAAAACGGACACGCTTTCCCATTCTCGCACAATATGTCCACGATATGCGCGTATCGCTATTATAGAGACCTCCATTTAAAATACCGTATAGGTGGCATGCGCAATGTTTATGACATTAATCCTGTGAACTGTCCTTTTTCTTTGAATGGAATTGTATATGTGATTTAATTCAGGTTTTTATTATTGTTACGTTCTTTTGGATTTAAAAAACAAACCATGTTTACTCCTTTACTGTTTTTCTTTTCTTTCTTTTTTGGAGGGGGGGGGGGGGCGTTTTTGGGGGGCAAAAATGCGTTTTGCCCCCCCACTTTTTTGACTGGGGGGGCAACTGCCCCCCCTGCCCCCCCACTTCCGGCGCCTATGATCAAATGCATGACATCATTTCATTGTTTCTCTTACTTACTGGAGGCGGTGGTTTCTGGCGATGTTGTTGTGTCTGACACCGTGGCCGTAGGGCTCATCGTTGGCTTTGTCGTCACGTCCGTAGTCGATGATTCCGCTGACTCTGAAACGTTTATAAAAAATGAAGCCACACTTTCAAAGTAATAAGATTAGGAATGACACCTCAACAGTAATAGAAGGCCAAAACGAAGAACGTTTTTTAAAATAAACTTTAACAGTTTATTTATTTTTTGTATAGTGTGTGTCAGGACATTGAATTTAGTGGTGCTTTGACAAAGTCGAAGGGTCTTATTTTGCCAAATCATTTATCTAAATGTATTGATATGGCGTGTTGACTGTTGTTAAACGCATGGACCATAAAATTAGACGGTTATTTCCCCCTTAAAAATGTTTTACCGACGCCCGAGATAGGAAAGGACTTTTAAAAAGTCAGATAAAGACTGAAAGATACAGATACAGATACAGAGAGAGAGAGAGAGAGAGGGAGGGAGGGAGAGAGAGAGAGAGAGAGAGAGAAGAGAGAGAGAGAGGCTATAGTGGCTAAACTCAGAGGCCCGAATTCACAAAGGAGGTTCGTCGACAAACCTCCTTTGTGAATTCGGGCCATAGTGATATTAATCACATGACGCCATTTTAATGTTTCTCTTACGGGAAGTTGTGGTTTCTTGCGATGTCGTTGCGTCTGATCGTTCCGGCATCGTGGCCGTTGGGCTCGTCGCGGACTTGCTTTTCGCTTCCCATTCTGAACGAAATGAACAAAACATGTATTAAATCGAGTGGGGAAAAGGGAGCCGGAGTCAGGAAATGATAGGAATATAGACAGATAGAGACAAATAATGTGCGAAGAGGGAAGACGAAGAAGAAGAACAACAACAACATAATAATAATAATACATTTTATTTATCAAGCGCTTAATGCTTAATGAAAGGAAAAGGAAGGAAAAGTGAGAAGAACTAAAGAAACATATTTGAAAATATTGAATTAAAAGTAAACGGCAAAGAAGAATGTGACATAACAAAAATGAAGGACTACATTAAAATTGATTGAATTATAGATAAACAACATCAAGAACAGTGTCGTTAAACTTATACGAAAATTTTTTATTTCAATAATTGACGTGCTCCTAAATTCTTTTAGCGACGCTCTTGAAAGAAGGACAAATAAAAATAAGACTATAAAAGTAAGAATTAGACGGTCACCCCCCCCCCCCTCCTTAAAAAAATGTTTTAGCGACGCCCGGAAAGGACCGAAAAATAGTATAGAGATATCAACTGCTTCGAGAGGCCTGGCTGTTTAATAGGCTCAAGATGTGCAAGCTCTCGAGAGCCTATAAATCAGCCAGACCTCGAATATTAAAGCAGTCGATATTTCTTTTATATGGTGAATTGAAACAAAAATCTACCAAGAATTCTTACCTTATCCTTTTGTTGAGTAAAGATCGGTTAAAACATCACGGACAATCTGAGAAACTGTCTGTTTATCTTTGTTTAGCGGTGTCCGCGCTCGCACATAGGAAATGTTAACACTTAAACCACAGTGGGTATCGCAGCAAAATTTTAATATTTTCACGATAACCGGAATTTTGAGGGATCTCACTCTTGGACTATTAATCGGTATTGGCATTTTTTGTTTCTTTACGGGAATGGCCAAAATCACGACTCCAATTTCGACCAATCAGATGGCTGGATTCCTTAAGTGAGGTATATAAAATCAGATAAAGACCGAGAGAGAGGGAGAGAGAAAAAAGGGGATTTGGTGGCTAGACCCATTATGATAAAAATCAAATGCATGACGTCATTTCCATGAAGCTATTGCCTAGACATACCAGAGGTAGTGGTGCTTTGAGAAGTCTTTGAGTCTGAGCGTTCCGTCATCGTAGTCGAAGGGCTCGTCGTAGGCTTGGTAGTCGCTTCCTCCGTTGAATCTGTGAGGAAGAACAAATCATGGGGTAGATGACGAGGCATAATATTTACTCTGAAAATATCTTCCCGCCGGCTGTTTCCAGGCACTCTTGGTCAGGGTACGGGGATAGGATCAAAGCGGAGGTGGGGGGGGGGGGGACGAATAGAAATCGGAAAATACTTTTCCTGTGGGAATCCCAATTCTATCAACAAGTTCCGAAAGAGGACCGCGAGGTATTTTCTTCTTAATAATCATCATCTTCTTCTTCTCCAGTTGCAACTACTGAATGTTGGTAACCCCCTGTAGAAAGTGTCGTCATGCTCTGTGTTCCTTAATTAGCCACCCCTCCCCAGATACGCCTAATATCGTTTTTGGTCAGTGTCTCCCTTGAAACCCACACTTGAGCAGTGACAGTTGTAGCCTACCATAGTCTCCTCACACAAGAGGGAGAGAGAGAGAGAGAGAGAGAGAGAGAGAGAGAGAGAGAGAGAGAGAGATAGAGAAAGAAAGGGAAGGGGGTAGTGGCAGACATTTAATAATGATCAAAAGCATGACATCATTTCATTGTATCTCTTACTTACTGGAGGTGGTGGTGTCTTGCGATGTCGTTGTGTCTGACATCGTGGTCGTAGGACTCGTCGTGGGCTTGCTCGTCGCGTCCGCAGTCGATAGTTCTGTTGAATTTGAAACGTTTGATAAAGTTGATGGTTCAGGGTTGTAACAAATGAATCTACACGTACAAAGCAATGAGATTAGGAATGACAACCTAAACATGATTAGAAGTCCAAAACGCAGAAAATTTAGCTCCATGAAAACATATAAATTGTATCAGTCAAATTATTTTATGAAGTATAATTTGTGTCAGCAAATTTGTAGATTTAGTGGTACTTTATCAAGGTCTAAGAGACTTTTTTACCAAATAATTTATCTAAATGTGTTCCTGCATGTGGCTTGATTGTTGTCATTGCACTCGTGGGCAGAAGAGTGCATGAGGCAGTACCTCCCCGTTAAAAAAATGTTTTAACTACGGCCGTGATAGGAAAGGACTTAAAACAAGAATCAGATGAAGACCTAGAGAGAGAGAGAGAATGAGAGAAAGAATAAGAGAGAGAGAGAGAGAGAAATAGAGAGAGAGAAAGAGAGAGAGAGAGACGGAAAGAGAGAGAGAGAGAGAGAAAGAGAGAGATATATTCGAGAGGAAAAAGGGGAAGTGGCTAGACATATTATATTAATAATCAAAAGCATGACATCATTTCATTGTTTCTCTTACTTACTGGAGGCGGTGGTTTCTGGCGATGTCGTTGAGGCTGACACCGTGGTCATAGGCCTCGTAGCTGTCTTAGTCGCCACGTCCGCAGTCGATGATTCCACTGACTCTGAAATGTTTATAAAAATGAAGCCACACGTTCAAAGTAATAACATTAGGAATGAAACCTCAACAGGAATAGAAGGCCAAAACGAGGAGCATTTTTTAAAATAAACTTTAACAGTTTATTTATTTTATGAGGACTGTATAGTTTGTGTCAGGACATTGGATTTAGTGGTGCTTTGACAAAGTCGAAGGGTCTTATTTTGCCAAATCATTTATCTAAATGTATTGATACAGCGTGTCTAATTGTTGTTAAACGCGTGGACAAAAGAATTAGACGGTCACTTACCCCTTAAACAAATGTTTTACCGACGCCCGAGATAGGAAAGGACTTTTAAAAAGTCAGATAAAGACTGAGATATACAGATAGAGAGAGAGAGAGAGACAGAGAGAGAGAGAGAGAGAGACAGAGAGAAAGGAGAGAGAGAGGTGATAGTGGGGAAGAGGGAAGAAGAACAATAACAGCATCAAGAACGTTGTCGTTAAACTTATAGGCAAAATATATATTTAAATAATTAACGTACACTTCCCCTTCCTAAAGTGTTTTAGCGAATCTCCTGAAAGAAGGACAAATACAAATAAGACTATAAATATAGGAATTAGACGGTCACCCCCCCCCCCCCTCACCTTAAAAAAAATGTTTTAGCGACGCCCGGAAAGGACCGAAAAATAGTATAGAGATATCAACTGCTTCGAGAGGCCTGGCTGTTTTATAGGCTCAAGATGTGCAAGCTTTTGAGGGCCTAAAAATCAGCCAGACCTCGAATATTAAAGCAGTCGACATGTCTTCTATATGCTGAATTGAAACAAAAATATACGAAGAATTCTTACCTTATCCTTTTATTGAGTAAAGATTGGTTAAAACATCACGGACAATCTGAGAAACTGTCTGTTTATCTTTGTTTAGCGGTGTCCGCGCTCGCACATAGGAAATGTTAACACTTAAATCAATGGGTATCGCAGCAAAATTTTACTATTTTCATGGTAACCGGAATTTTGAGGGATCTCACTCTTGGACTAATAACCGGTATTGGCATTTTTCGTTTCTTTACGGGAATGGCTAAAATCACGGCTCCAATTTCGACCAATCAGATGGGTGGATTCCTTAAGTGAAGTATATCAAGTTAGATAAAGACCGAGAGAGAGGAAGAAAAACAAGGGGGATATAGTGGCTAGACCCATTATGATAATGATCAAATGCATGACGTCATTTCCATGAAGTTATTGTCTAGACTTACCAGGGCCCCGTCTTACAAAGAGTTACGATCGATCCAAATCAATCGTAAGTCCTCCAATCAATCTCAAGTTTGCAGTCTCCTATCTCTTATGTACATAGTTACGATTGATATCAATCACAAATAAGTTACGATTGATATCAACTCTTTGTAAGACGGGGCCCAGATGTAGTGGTACCTTGAGAAGTCGTTGTGTCTGAGCGTTCCGTCATCGTAGTCGAAGGGCTCGCCGTAGGCTTGTTCTTCGCTTCCTCCGTTGACTCTGTGAAGAAGAAACAAACATGGGGTAGATGACAAGGCATAATATTTACTCTGAAATTATCTTACCGCCGGCTGTCTCCAGGCGCTCTTGGTCAGGGAGAGGGATATGATCAAAGCGGGGTGGGGGGGGGGGGGGACAAATAGAAATCGGAAAACATTTTTCCTGTGGGAATCCCAATTCTATCAACAAATTCCGAAAGAGGACCACAAGCTTTTTTTCTTCTTAAACTTCATATTTTACTTCTTCTTCTTCTTCTTCAGTTGCAACTACTGAATTTTCGTTTACCCCCTGTAGAAAGTCTCTTCATGCTCTTTGTTAATTAATTAGCTACCCCTCCCCCGAAACGCCTACGTTGATATTACACCTACGTTCATCGCAGTGTCTCCCTTGAAACCCACTTGAGCAGGTACAGTTGTAGCCTTCCATAGTCTCCTCACACCAGCCGTTTTTACAGAGATTTTTGCCACAATCTGCGAAATAAGTAATAAACGGGATAAAACTCAATATTGATTAACAAGTTATCATTACATTTTGTTCTGTTTGGTGTGAAAGATATATTTTCGGGATTTTCACAAATTAACATAAAAAAGATAAGCAAGACTAATGATAATGCATTTTTACCAGGGCTTAAACATGTCAAACGCCACGGAGACCATACTCCATAGCCATCGGATACCCATTTCATTGTTGTCAGTGCCCATTCTCTAAATACACTGTTTTGCCTGGTGTAATTCACAGCCCTTCCCGACTATTTTTTTAATAAATCCCCGATAATTGTTCCTGGCTTTATTTTGTCAAAGGTTTATGATTAGGGTAAGAGTTGCAATTGGCTTTAAGGTTAGGATTAGAGTTAGGGTCAGGTATAGTGTTTGTTACAGTTACAGGAAAACCCAATCATAATAGACAACTACTCTAAAAGAAAGCAGAAATATCAGAGAAGCAGACTGATGAAAGTTCGAATGGAATCGGATGAAAAATAAGAAAATTTGTTTCAACACACAAAATGACTAAAATGTTAATTTTTCCAAATGTTTGACTCTGGAGGGCCTTTCCATTTGAGAGAACCGATGATAATGTGCTATCCGAAATATATTTTGCCTACTGCCCCAAGGGAGAAGGCACTTCTAACCTTTTTATCGACGACGAACGGGAAAGTTGTCCATGACTATGTCACAATCAATTGGAGATTGGCATATATTTAGTGATCTCATATTTCAATCATTCATAACTCCCTTGAAGTTAATTCGATTTATTTTTCCAATCTTTTTCTCTTACTTTTCTACTTTCACACAAATGAATATTTAACAAGATTTGGATTCCCCTTTAAGAAATTAACGTGGAGCAATTTTCGTCAGAAACAAGTGTCGTACAACCTTGCCCTTTTTAGATCTTCCTACGTACCTGTACTGTAATAAAAGAATTCGTGACATAGAAATAGCGGCCTAAAAATAAAGAAATTATTTAGAACCGAGACCGCGAAGTTTGTCACTGGTTTTTCTAGCACTTAACAATTACTTAAGCCCATCCATTTAGGCTTTAATTCAAGTGAGAAAACAATAATTATTTCACACTGTTTTCAAATTCTGGTAGTTGATAGCGAAGGGAAAAACGAGAATATTATTTTGTGAATACGAATTCACAAATATTGTTGCTCGTCTCGCATCAGAATATTGTTTTGCTAGATAATTTGATGTTCCTTTCATTATTTTCGATAGATTTTACTAATCATCTAGAGAGGAATTTCAAATAGTAGTAGTAGTAGTAGTAGAAGTCGTAGAAGTCGAAGGAGTATTAGTAGGAGTAGTAGTAGTTGTAGTAGTAGTAGTAGTAGTAGTGGTAGTTATAGTAGTAGTAGTAGTAGTAGTAGTAGTAGTAGTAGTAGTAGTAGTAGTAGAGGTAGTAGTAGTAGTAGTAGTAGTAGTAGTAGTAGTAGTAGTAGTAGTAGTAGTAGTAGTAGTAGTAGTAGTTTTTGTTCGTATCTTAAACGATTATTATTCAAAAAAGTAAGCTTCATATATTTTTGTATATATTTATGTTTAATGATGTTGCCTATTATGTGTATAAATGTATCCAGTATTTTTATCCTTTTATTTGTCATTAATTTTATTTTATGTCAACATGTATAATGCTCAGTGTATTTTAAATATCATGATGTTTTTACCTTGTACAAATGATCTGCAATTCAGCTTCGGCTGC